AATGTACGGTAATGAACATTAACAAGATATAAAACAGAAATTTAATTAAAATAAACATTAATAAATAATCTTTATTATCTCGTTTAATTAGTGAAGAATATTTCTCTAATTAATGTTACCTATGTAATTTTATGAATAATGCAAATTCTAATACTTTTGAAAAACAAACGAACATTTTCCAACGTTATAATGTGTTTTTAGTGCATTTTATTGTCGTAAATCTACAGAAAAAGGAACGAAGAAAGTGTTAATTCTCATGGATCTTAATTTAAACAACCATTAAATGGTTCGTCAGTATTCCATTCTTCGCTGTGAATGTTTTTCAAACTCTACATTCGTTGGATATTAGTAAAAGGGACAATAAATTTTCGGTATGTTTCCCTGGGAGCGACTACACCGCATCGACTGTAAAGTTTGAAATGCGGGCCGTCTTTATTGGTAAAACAAGGTGCATATGTGATCTTCAGGATGTAAGGGGGAGGAGCACCGCTTCCGGCCGTGTAGGTACGCACGCCGGAAGTGTCGGTTGAACTGCCACGGCTGGCCGTCATGGTGCGACTTTAACCGAATGCCCGGGAAGGTTTTCTGATTTCTGTCTGCTCGCGACCCGTGAAGATCGGAGATGCGAGTTTGGCGACGTTCACGGCACACAGCAGGTTATTGTATCCGCCGCTTTTGCGTGGGAACGACCTCAAAAGTAGCGCAGAACAGAGGCCGAACTTGACATCGTTACTTTTTCACTGCTTTAGGGATTTCTATCTCTTTTACAACCATTTGTCATGCATATTACTATAACATTATACACGGTGAACCGATAAAAATATACTTTGAATATTACATTACAACTATAGAAAAGTGAATTTTATTTTTAATAAATATTTTATTTCATTATTATTAATAAAAAAAAACAATTGTTATACGCCCTTTACTACAAATAACTTCGATTTAAAATTTGTTTTTTCTCTACTGTATATCATAACTCCAGAGGTATTCAAAGTAATAATTTTTTATTGGTACACTCTGTGTATATATAACGTAAAATTTTTAATTGTAAACAATACTTCCTCTCTGCTCTTGCATAGCAATTTTTTTACGGGTTATAAATTTGTTTCGGCTACGATATCCTAATTAATTATTCGAAACCTGAAAATGAAATTTGCAGTTATTTATTGGCGATTGCAAAACAGTTTATGTGAACAGTAGCAGTTTCGAAAAGTCATGTGAAGCGAAGGGAGGAAACACGCAACAGGAACACGGGGGGAGTGAGTTGTGTCGTTTTCGGACGGTGGAAGTTGGGTAAAATAATGAAAGAGGTGGACACAAAGGAATGAGAAGCCTTGGTAGTAGGTATATATACCTTGGTACTTTACCTACCGGCAATGAAATAAGTCGACCACGAAATGACATCCGCTCTTCTGCTAGCCTCTCGTTACCATGACAATCTGTTTCCTCTTGGTTTCACCTTTATCCACCTGTCGTTGCCTTTCCTTCGTGCAGGAAAGTATTCGTCTGTTGGCCTCTCTGTCGGATTAACGGAAGCGCATCCTTGCACTTTCAGCGTGTCAGGCTTATTCTCCGCTCTATGCTTGCAAATTGTTTCAATTGATCGGATGCTTTTCGCACGAATCAGCCTCGTCAGTATTGAATTGCGGGTTTGCTTCTTTAGAGAAGTGATCGTCGTCGCCGCCGCTTGAGAACTCTCTTCTTCTCGTCGAGTACCATTGTTGCCGTTTGATTGTTCCACGCACTGCAGCTCCCTTATAAACGCTCTTAATGTTGTTTTTTTTAACACCATTGCTTCTCATTAGAGTGAAATGGTAATTGTGTGAACCTGGAAAATTAATCGTTTTAGACGTGAACGTGTATTGTGAAAAGTACTTCCTACATTTTTTTTATTACCTTCTGGGTAGAATTTCTATTTTGAAATTCCAATGGAAATAGATTTTATTTGAACCTCGTCGTAGATTTCGAGACACGGCGATGAAAATTTCATCATTTCACTTGGAACGATTTTTTTCGAAGTATTAATCGTTCCCTGCAACATGGCCCCCTAAAATAGGTCAAACAAATAAGGTTTAGTAAGCTTCGTGTGTAACAGAGAGATTTCGATACTTAATTAAACGTTATTAAGTTCGGTATCTATATAAAATATATGAAAATATTGTTAGAATAATTATTAAAGTATTTATTAAATATTTACGATAATAAAAAGTATTATAAGAAATTTAATTTTCGTTCGAGGTTGTATTTCTTTTTCCGTTACGTTTGAATATTCTGAGCTAGAATATCGAATATATTCCGAGGTAGAATATCGAAACGGAATGTTGTCGGTGAAAAGCCGACTATTAACGAACATAATACAATTATCAAGAATATCGAGAAATTTATGCATATTGCTCGTGCATATGGATGCACCCACAGGTTATGTAATTCTTATGGGCAATGTGATATAACAAGAACGTTCTAAAATATTTTGTAACTGCTTGAATTAACCAACCGTTAATTTTTTTTTATGCAGTCGTGATTTACATGCTAACAACGCTTTCATTTCGTAATGTATTTCTAAATATACGATGAAAGTAATGGTATGCATGTTTTTCGTAGTTGATAGCTGTTTAGAAAATTTCATTAGCATCCTTTAGAAAT